CAGCTAAAAAATGTCGCAGTCTCTGCACAAGAAAGTTAAACTAATTAGTCTGTCGTCAATGGCGGTCGACGACAGGCTCAACAACGCAAACTGCCACCTAATAGTACGAGACGACGTATCTGCAATGAAATTTCTCATCGACACGGGAGCCAAAGTCAGCGTAATTCCACCAACGCAACAACAACGTAGACATCCTGACAACAGTAACTACCTCTATACAGCAAACAGGCCCACCATAAAAACTTACGGTGAAAAAGTCATGCATGTTAATTTAGGTCTACGCCGCCAATTTTCCTGAAATTTCATAGTTTCCTACGTATTACAAGCCATCATCGGAGCGGATTTTTTATTGCATTTTAACTAATCGGTCAACCAACCATCGATGACATCACAAGCGTTAGCATACATTGTTCAGTGTCAGCTAATAATATAGTAGTATGAAATTTATCATGCATTAACAAAAATCTACCGTTCCAGGATTTGCTGAGAGAATTCAAAGACATCATGGTAGACAATTTCATGACCAATAAACCACAACACCTGGTCACACATCACATAGTCACCAAAGGTCCACCTGAGAAACTAAAAGCAGCAAAAGCCGAGACACAATTCATTCTAGATGCACATGGTGAAAATCAAACAACTCAGCCAAAATAGTACCAGACAAAATCAGGACGACGAGTACGTTTTCGCCTTCCCGCATAGGGGTGAGTGATGTGGCAATCACAAATGCAACTCTGCAAGAATTATTTATACAAGCAGACATGGCAACGTTCAACCTAGATTATCTTTCATGCTGACGTACCTCCATCTTCCCATTTCATCACGGATCGTCCAGCTATAAACACGTTATCACTATTTTTGTTTGTAATCACATTATATCATTTTTTGGAAATTAAATAAATCAAACATTATTGTGGACATCTCACAAGTGGTTCCGAAGGAGTAGTGCGCAGGATTGCTGAGTCGAATTAGCTGTCCAGACGAATGAGGTGGGTAGAGATGAAGCTCCAAGCCTTTTTATTGATTCGATTTGTGGTATATTATCGTGTGTTATCTTCTCCAATATTGGGTGCGGTGGTGTTTTCATGTGGAATGAGATCCTCTATGTGTGCAAATGAAGTGGCGTATATGTATACTAAGTCTTAAGACATTTAACTATTCGGACCCACCTATTGTGCCTAATATTACATATATTTACTGTACATAAGTATCACATGTAGTGATAAATCCATATCTGCCTATGTACGAGGGAATCAATTTTGGCTTAAGTGCATTTGATGTATTTTGATGAGGGAATTAGTGCTTGCGAAAAGCAATTTTTTATTTTTAAGTTATTTTATAGTTTTGAAAATGTAAGCTACTATGGGGCAATATTGTATATGTCGCTTTTTCGACTTTTTTAAAAAAAAAATTGTATATGTTATGTTAAAGTGCGTATACACTAATTTGGCAAGTATGTAGTAGCGCGCACTATATTTTTACTCTTACAACATATTGCTACAGAGTTAAATAGTTTTGTTAACCTAACGGTTGTTTGTATCACCTAAAACTAAACGAGATAGATATGGTGTTATATATATATAAATGATCCGGATGACGAGACGAGTTGAAATCATAAGAAGTTTGGTACTGTAGATGGGCGTAATCGGACCCCATCCACGCCCACAAACCGCCATTAATCGAAAACTTATAAAACCTTTTAACTAAGCACTGAATTAATACATACATATGTATATCTGTAATATGGTACAGAATAAGTTAAATGTATATTTCTCCTAAACCATTCAAGCTATATAACCCAAGTTTGCACAGAATAAATATTTTTGACACTCTCTAACCGCTCCCACTCCCTATATAACTGTTTTAATAAAAACTACTAAAAGTGCGATAAATCAATAACTAAATGCGTCAGAGACATCAAATTTTGCAACCGGAGTGGCACAAGAGGGTTTTAAAGAAGCTGTTGTCAAAATTGAACGATGGGCGTGGCACCGCCCCATTTAGGAAAAATCATACACCTCCAGAACTTCTGATCAATTTAAACAAAATTTGGTACATAAAATTATTTTATCAACCCCATCTCACATTATCAACTCCCTCGCACCAAAGAATATATCATATTAGGACAAAAATTTGCAGTGCGTTTGAGATATACCACCTTAAGTCTAAAAATTATCAAAATCGGATCATAACAGTTCACACCCCCAGTTACGGAATATGGGGACCCCAGTGCCTGGGGCTAACTTTTTACCGGAATTAACGGTCAATCTGTGGGATATATTATTGCAATTAGTATGCAAGTATGTTAAAAATGGAATGAATCGGTTCAATACTTCCCTTAGCCCCTATATACCGTATCGAAATATTTTCCAACTTCCGGTTTATTTCATACCGCATATATCGGCTAATATATAAGCTATTTTAATAAAATTAAGTGGATGTATTTTCCTTTTTGCTTTATCTTTGCGCGTAAAATTAGAGAAATCGGATCAAAACTTGCCTCAGCCCTCATACAACAAATCATAAGGTAAGGTACCTTAATGAACTCAGGGAGTATTTTATTCTGTTAATAGTATATTGTATTGCCAAAAATATATAAAATCGAGTTACTATTTAATAAAATTTTATATATAAGATTTTCAAACTTCCGATTGGTCTTATACCATATATATCAGTCAATATGTAAGAAATCTTAAATTAACCGAACGTTTAATATAATATAAAGTAACGTTTAACGTATAATACTTACATTATTAGATATATGTATATGTATACTCGTATATATACTATAAACTATAGTTGTTTAATGCCGAAAATATGCGAATTTAGTCTACGAATACCTCAACTCCCAAATACTATAGGTAGTATTGATTTTCGTTATTCTAACAAACCTAAACCGAACATCTCGTTCAATGGGTGTATTATATATTAATTAAATTGATGGAAAATATGATCTCAAGTATACCTCAGCAATGTCAAAATAAATTCAATCAACCCATCCCTTTCTCTGTCTCCAATTTAGCCTATATAATAATTTCCGACTCTCCACCTGACCAAATGTGTGATACTTTAATAAAATTAAATTATGAAGTTTTCATAAAAATTGTGTGGGAATATGTATGAAAATAGTCTACACTTTTGTCCAAACCTTGTATCCCTAAAATAAGGAATTGCGACAATTTTAGCTAAAGCGAAGTAAAATATTGTAATAAAACTAAATGAGTATATGACTTATAATATTATACAAATACCTATAACTTAATAAAATACAAATTTGATTGTAATCCATTGACAATTTCGTCGAATAATGAATATTGAATTGTTTCGCAACATTTTTTAATATAAAGTTTTCCTATCCCTGAGGGTATTTTCATTGCTTTCATCCTTGCAAGTTGCACAAGTATAAAATGTTCGGTTCCACTCGAACTTAGCTGTTCCTTACTTGTTAATATAAAGTTTTGCTACACCTAAAAGTATTTCTTCGGCTTTGATTCTTGCAAGTTGCAAGAGTATAAAATGTTCGGTTACGCCCGAACTTATCCCTTCCTTACTTGTTTAGCATAAGGTCTGGTATAAAGAAATCCATTATTTCTCCATTTAATGCCTTTAGTAATCTGTGTCTCTAAATGTGAACGGGCACGCTAATTAGATTATTGATTGACGAGACTAACAAGTGTCATTTTTGTATGGCGAAATCTTAGTTCAATAATCTACCCAACAGCATAAATATCATGATTAAACGTCGGTCGGAACATGGTATATGGCGTTGGAATGATAAGATTTCGTACTAAAACAACTTTTCAGACAGTTTTGCAATTGGTTGACTCAGTACTCTGATACCACATGGTAAAAATGGACATCAGCAAAGAGAATGTGCCCCATATTTTACAGTCTTTTTCGATAAAGGCAAAATGGCGAGTCAGGGGGTTGTGAATTGTGTTTTTTATCCTGATACTGTAATCGCCAATCATGCAAAATTTTGGTTTCGTCGATTCAGTTTTGGCAATTTGGATGTTATGCACTATGTACTATGTTCTGGAAGGCCAAGTGCAGAAAATATCTAGAAAATAATGAAATCTTCGAGTACGACCGCCATGTAAGCACTGTTGCGATTGCTCAAGAGTTAAATAATGCACAAGAAACCGTTAGAAACCATTTAAATAAGGCTGGATACAAAATGAAGCTCAATATGTGGGTGATACACAAGTTAACGGAAAAAAAACCTAACTGACAGAATCATCCGCATCATCCAATCGTTAGTAAATCGCAACATTCTGAAGCGAATAGTTACTAGTGATGAAAGGTAGATACTTATCATGTAACAGAATCAATTCCACTTTTTACTTCTATACTCCATTTCCAACACTACAGGCTAAGAAGTTTCACTTAAAACCATTTTCGGCTTTCCCTTCAACTAAGTCCGGGTGTAACTGAACTATAAAATGTTCGCAGTTTCAAGGATCAAAGTCGGGGAAATATCCTCAGGTGTTGGCAAAACTTTATATTAAACAAGTAAGGAAGGGCGAAGGTCGGTTTTATCCGAATATTTTATACTCTCTCAATTTGCAAATTAAGAGTCCTCACAGATTGTACAATATACTTACATATAAGTGAATTTTCAAGAAGTTTTTCTGATGAATTTATTGGTCCAAAAATTTATACACATAATTTATACTATTGTATATATATATATACTATCTTTTAAGTTTAGTAAAAATATTTATTTGGAAAAGAGCTACAGCTGATCTCCGGGTGCTCCTCTCAAAAAAGACGTTTTGCGGTGAACACTATATCTCTGAACTGGATCATCTGAAATTGAAAAACCAAACAGATTTCTAAAAAATAAATATGAGAAGCTCGTGTTAAAATTTGAGACTAATCGGTTCAGCCGTTTTCGAGTACTGTTGGTCACCGACTTGAAAACACTATTCTGAGAAAAACGCGTTTAAAGCTTGGAATGCACTTTACATGGGATACAAATTATTTTTTTAACTTACATGGAGTTGTCAATTCCAAGCCCATATAAGAGACCCTCCGCCGATTCGGCAGCTTCTAATAACTGGAGCAGATGTTGTTTTCGAGCCATTCTTCCATCTCGGGTTCTCTCATGCGCTCTGCGATCGGAAATTTCCACGCGCTGCTTATCTTCTTTTTCGGCATATGAATGCGCATTAGGCCCAAGTGTAATTCCTATTGTCTTCATATAATGTTAAATAATTTACTACTATGATGCCATTCCTAAATTTTTCACAGTTTTCTAACCGGCCGGAACAATTTTGGGAGAGATTTTCCAAATCAGTTGATTGAAGCTCTCATCTTTCTAATCAATTCTCACTGCTGAGATCTTTAAAAATCGGACGCACAGCCTCAGCTACATCTTCTGATTATGGCTCATAATCATGTTCGAAAGTGGATAATTGATTGGCAGCTGCAGCCCTCTGCCAAATTTTTTTTAATGGAATCGCAATTTCTTCTTATTGCTAAGCCATAATAAACTGTCAACTTATCGATCATCTTTCCAGTTAGTTCGCCTTTTCCGTCGAGAGTTATTTGTATTTTTTTTCTCTTTTGTTTTCAACTGTTTCAACATTTTTTTGACACAATCTCGGAGTCGCATGCCTATTCGTTTCTGTACGTATCCAATACATTCTTTCTTTACAACTTCTTGATCACCATAAGGTGCAGCCTTTAAAATTTCCGAGTACGTTTTGGAGTCCCATTCGAAAAATAAAAGTTTACAATTCAGCTACAATCACACTGTTGATTTACACATATTATATAAATACATTAGAAGGCAGCATTTACAATAGGCAGGTGTATAATGGGAATAGCGTTCAAGTAGTCGCTGCCGCTCCGGCCTTGTACTTCCAAGCACTCTGAAACGCCTTTTCAAACTACTTCGAAAATATTCACCGCAACGATATGAAATTTTCTGTGTGTATGCTTAAATATATGAACATTAAGAAAATAAAATTAAAATAAATCGATTTTTTGAAAATTCTAACTGTATGTAACCCCATGAGGCATTAAGTCAATCGGATGTTTGAAAATTCGAATATTAGGTGAATGGGGACTAGGGGATGTATTGTTCTGATTTCATACATATTAGGCAAGAGGAGAAACTTTTATTCGAAAGAGATTCTTTCGGAAGTTTGCAAATGTTTGTACAGGGTTTTCCAATAAGAGTGATATGATTTTCTTTAAAAGAAAACACACTAATTGTTAAGGAAATTCAAAAATTTTTTATTTAATGTGAAGTAAAATCGACGCAATTAAGTTCTGAATATAAAACCATTTAAATAGTTTTTACGACTTCTTTTACAGGAACGAATTCCAGTGAACCCAATTTTCGAGTACTTTTTCCACTAAATCAAGTCGTATGTCATGAATAGCACGCTCAATATTGACTTCTAAAGCTTAAAGATAGTCTGGTTTATTAATAAAGACCAATGACTTCAAATAACCCCACAAGAAGTAGTCCAATGATGTTAAATCACAACTTGAAATTATCCAATCTTATGAGTAATTTGTGGATTTCTTCGCACCAGAATCGACAGTTTGGTTTATTTACCGCATCACTCACCATAAAATGGCGAAGACGTATGAAAAGTTGCAATTAGAAAACGATTATTTTGATAATAAAATTTAATAATTTGTGAACATTTTGTTTTTGCGTATAGCTTTCCATGATGAAATTGTAAACATTACTAACATTACAGTCTAATTTCGGCAATTTTTGGGCGTAAGATGAAATAACATGAGAGCACTATTAGTGCAAAGTTTTATTCTGATAATTTCATTGAGGCTTGATTTGTATACTGTAAATGCAAGAATCAAATGGAATTTGTTATATGAAAAGACAATTGACATGGTATTTCGCAGTGTTTAAACAAACGTTGAAAAGATTTCTTCTCAGCAAATTTGGTTGATTTATCTTAAACGGTATGAAAGATATGTTCATTAAACCATTTACGGGCCAGGTCACGCCCCCATTTGAAAAATGTTTGGTCCAGCTGCACGTTTTTGCCATTGCTTTGTTTTAATATCTTCTTAGCGTTTTAAGATTTTAGCCGATTGTTTGATTATTATCTTTAGACTCTTTTGAACCATTTTTATAAAATTACGATAAGACTTTTGCTCGCAATCATATAAGCTAAGATAATTACACATTTGTTTTATTTTAAAAATATAATTTAACATATTTATCCATATGTAATTATTTGGTTGAACGTTTGAGTAAATTAATAAAACTAACTATTTTTTCTCGTTAATCATATAAGGTTAAAATATTTGTATTAAAATCATAAAGTTGTGTTATTAATGATAGTGTGAAGATAGGTGAAATGGCGAGGTAAAATGTTTATTAAAGCAATATATTTTCATTGCATCGATTTCTATTTAGTTAATGACTTTAATTTTATATAAAAAACCAATATTCAATTTTTACTTACCAGGCTGAATAATGTTACAAAGAGTTATCATTTTAATATTAAGGGCTGTCATCATTAGGAAAGTTGGATGGGACATTAACATATATATACTTTCTTGGTTCCATAGCGATATCCTCCGCATAAGTAAATAAATAAATATATCCATTGAATGTACGCATGTATATGGAAGATTAAACAGCCACGAAGAAAGCACTGGTGCAGTAGAAGTATATAATTAAACAATTGTATTTTTATAAAAAGTATTCTTAAAAATACAGTACTTATAATAGATGCGAGAATACTCGGTGAGTATAACACTAGGGCTTCATTTAACCAAAACCATATTCATTAAAATAACTTTAATATCATTCTTAAATAAGGCGATTTTGTCTTATTAAACGTTTTACTTAAGTGAGCTGAAATATGACAACACCGTTCTATAAATAAACAGCTTCAAATAGACTGTGTAATCGGTAATTCTAAATTAACCACGGTGATTCGAAATTATTGTAAGCCGTGTTTGTAGCATACAAATTTGGCCAACGATTTACAGAAATTACAGTAACTATGACACCAGCTGACATCTCTGAACTACACACAGAGCGGTGAATCAGGTAAAACGCAGTGGCTAAATGAGCCTACATCGTCCCGAAAACGTACACACCAACACACCTCCCACATCAACTAACACAATCTACATCACACATCAGCAACATTCGCCACATCACCTCTCGCAACATTCACCACCTCACCTCACGCAACATACACCTCCCCCAACGACACTACCACCCAGGATATCCAACACACCGGCCGATCACCCCACCAACCATCAACAAAACCAAAACACTGGAAGCGGCTGACCTCTATTTTCGTATCAAGTTCGAAGCAGACACCTCGTCATCGTGAAGATTCCCGTTGGAGTATCGGGCCGGATATTGAAGAGTGAGTGGTGAGTGTAATAATTCCAAAAGGTTGGAATAAATACATGGTCCTTCGAGCCGAAAAGATAGGCACTATAAATATACAAACAAGCTAAACAAAACAAAAAAAAAAAGCTATATGTATAAAGTGAACAAAACTCAAGTGGAGTGGAACAGTGAAAAAAAAAATAGCTATCTAAAGAGACGAACAATCGCAGTGCTGTGTTTAACAAACAAAAAGGAAAAACAAAAAACAACCAAAGCGCTGTGAAGTGTATTAAACACATATACAAAAAGTTTTTTTTTATACATACTTATATGCACTGTGTTTTCCGAAAAAAAAAATAATAATAAAAAATTAAACAAAAAAACCCTTATGTGCATATTGACAACAAAAAATAAGTGGCTAAAAAATGGTGTGACAAAAAAAAAAAAAAAAACAAGTAAGGAAGGGCTAAGTTCGGATGTAACCGAACATTTTATACTCTCGCAAAGTCAAATGGTATACTCGTGGCTGTGCCACGCCCACTGACTAATTTTGAACGCGGTTCCTATAAAGCCAATTTATACCATCTCAGAGATAAAATTTAATGTCTCTGGCGTGTTTAGTGCTTGATTTTCACACCGTCAATAGAAGTGCTAAAAACATTTGCTTCTAGTGAATTTTGTTATTATAGCATTAGCGGTTTAGGAGATATGCACATTAAACCTATTAGAGGCGGGACCACGCCCACTTTAAAAAAAAAAGTTTTATCTGCAGATGCCCCTCCCTAATGTGATCCTTTGTACCAAATAACAGTCTTGTATCTTATTGCGGAGCTTAGTTATGGCAAGTTATTTGTTTTTGATTAATGGCGTTTTGTGGGCGTGGCAGTGGTCCAAGAAACATGTCTACCAAGTTTCATTAAGATATCTCAATTTTTACTCAAGTTAGAGCTTGCGCGGACGGACGGACGGACGGACAGACAGTCACCCGGATTTCAACTCGTCTCTTCATCCTGATCATTTATATATATATAACCCTATATCTAACTCGATTAGTTTTAGGTGATACAAACAACCGTTAGGTGAACAAAACTATTATACTCTGTAGCAACAGGCTTAAATTACATTTTAAATAACAACAATAAAAACAACATATACAAATATACATTCGGGCGCGGAGTAACAAAAAAAACCACAAAAAGCAACACCTAGCACACACAAAATCCAAAGGAAAGGACAGGAATTGGAAGAAACACAGAAGCACACGTAGACGTACATACACTTAATTACAAATATATGTACATATATTCCCCAAAAGCCCTTTTCTTATATTTATGCACATACATACATATGTATATTCATTGCGAATTACAGATTATATTTTTTACAATAAAACATCAAAAAACCGTTCAATATCTTGGTAACGGGTGCCAATTTGGTCTAACTTACCGGTTTGAATTGCGGGTTCAAACAACGAAAAACCGTTTATTGTAATATATGTATATGTACATTCATACACATACATATATACGACAGATATATGTATATATTTATATCATATATAATAATTGACTACCTGCTTACCTTCGTGTATTCAAACACAATATACAAAAAAAAAACCCAAATTTAAGTATTTCAATACTTACAAATTTTTCCGGCAATACCCCTTACGCTTAATTAAGCAGTAAGCAGGATTGCAAAATATATGTGAGCAAAGGAAAAGTCAAACTAAAAGCATAACAGGCAAAATAAATATACATACATATACACAATAAACGAAGTTAAACGAAAAAAAAAAGTAAAAAAAAAAAAATATATATATATACATATATATACGTACAAAAAGGAGTACTTACATTTACTTCTAAAGTATATATAACAATTACATATATAAAATTATATACAGTGCATAATTACGTATACATACATATGTATTCTAAATATTAAATATTAAACATTAATATCGTACATAACATATCGTATTTTACATACATATCTTATACATCATTTATACATACAATTAAAACCTTACATACGTACATACAGTGCTTACGGAAAATTGCGCCATTACCTGCTATTGCCCATTTCTCTCTCGCGCTCTTTTACGATTATATATAATTCGCTTTTTTTACATATATATATGTATATAGGGTAAATACGGTTCGGTAAATAAAACGCGGATTATTTAATAAAAATCATACTATATTATATAAATAATACAAAATTTTGAACAATATACATACATATTGGTTCAAACTAAATTTATATTTATATTCAAAGTCCACTTTGGCATATATTCCGTAATACCCCTTGCAGCAAGCAAGCAGGATTGCGTAAAAAAGTTTTTAGCACAAATAATTCGTGCTTACTCGTACATACATAGGTACAAAGTGCATTGATTTCGTCAACGAGCTTTCAATTGTACAAGTACATACATATATACATACCTACAAGTCCACGCATTATGGTGTACCTACATACCCCTAAATAAGGACATCAAAAATATATATATATATAAAATAAATTTAAAAAAAATTTCAATAAATCGTTAAATAAAATTAGATTAAAAATAAATACGAACCGCTATCTATAACAACTAAATCCGGGTATTTCAGTTATTTATTTGAAATTACGAACGCCAATCAACAAAAAAAAATTTTTGCGGTTATACATACAAGTATATACGGAAATTAATATTAATTTGGCTCGAAGTGAAAAACTCTATTCACTAACAATAGCTTTCGTTCACACATTTATATATACGAAGATATAATTTCTGAATTATCCATCAGTCGACACTGAGGAATTTTTTATTTATTTCATACAATTTCTAAATGAGCTCAGACTCAAAAGATTCAAAAACAACACAGTCTCTAAAAGTACCAAAAATGATTTCGGATGAAAAAAGTCCATGCACACCAGCAGAAGCTACACGCTCCAAACAAGGTGCGACAAAACAAAAAAGGGGTAGAGACATTTCTTACACAAAATTCATTTCGGAAAGTGACAGTTTAATAAGATACCGCACTAGATTCTCATCTTCGCCGATTCAGGACAATTCTGAATCGGTATTAGAAATCAAAAAAGGCAATCTTGACAATTTTCGGTCACGTCTCCAAGCTGCATATGACGCAATTGTAGAATCTGACGACTCAGATCTACCAGAAAATTTCAAATCTTCGGCATACGCCAAATACGAAAACTGCTTAGATCAGTTCGAAGAAACTAAAGCAATGATTTCCGATCAACTTAAGCTAATAAAAGCAATTGCACCTACTCCACATCAGCGAGTAGAGCTGTCACAAGTACAAAGTCAAGAGGCAAGTTCAGGCATCCATCTCAAGGTGCCCGCATGTGACACAGAAATATTTCATGGTGGTTATGAACAATGGCCGTCCTTCCGGGACATGTTTACAGCCGTTTACATGAACCACCCAAAATTATCAAACGCACAAAAATTGTATCACCTCCGATACAAAACAAAAGGTCAAGCAGGCGTTATAGTAAAACTAAATGACGATAATTTCAATTTGGCTTGGGAAGCTCTTAAATCAAGATTCGAAAACGAAAGAATATTGGTCGATAAACAAATATCGATATTAATGAACTTGCCAAAAATTCAAAAGGAAACAAGTGAAGAATTCATCAAACTTCAATCCACTGTTTCAAATTGTTTGTCGGTTTTATCGACACAAAATATATAATAAAAAATGGTCAGAACGAATCCCGTTCAACACGACCTAAATAGAAGCTTCCACAGACCCTAAGCAAGTAGCAACAACAATTTAAATATAAGCTTCTTCAGAAATTAAGCGTTCACATCCAAACAGTACAAACAAATGTCATGCGAACTATGTACAGGAGGGCATAAGCTCAAATCTTGCGAGATATTCAAAAAATTGAATATTATGGACCGAAACAATTTTGTAAAAACAAAAAGACCTTGTACAAATTGCCTATCACATGCACATACACTTAAAGAGTGCGAAAGCAAATTTAATTGCGTTTATTGTCATAAACGACATCATTCACTGCTGCATTACAGCACATTTTCCAGCTCATCCCCAAACAGCGCAAATATGAAAAGAGCCACGGGTTTAGTTGCAACAGCAAATCCTAAAAACCAAAATCCCGAAAATTGCCAAAAAACACCATGTTGCTCAAAAGCATAAAAAACTCAAATGCTACACAGCGAAACACAAAGTAGAGTACTACTACCCACAGCAGTCGTCTCCATCGAACACCAAGGAGAACTGTTTAAGCTTAGGGCCTTAATAGACCAAGGATCGCAGCGATCTTTCATAGCGTCTAGGGCTCAAAATAGGCTACAACTGCCAACAAAACTAGCCAATTTTGAAATCACGGGAATGGGCGGAAGAGTAGTACAAAACTCTAATAAAATCTGTCCCATTACCCTAATTTCCCCCCAAGCGCTATCACATAAATAGCAAGCATTGGCAAAAGGTTTCACACCTAAAGCTACAGATCCCAACTGAACACTCCCGCTCAAATAGACCTTCTGTTAGGCAGCGATCTCATACCACAGATAATACTCGAAGGTATTGAGAAAATTTCAAATACACTTCTGGCACAAAATACTATTTTTGGGTGGATCCTAAGTGGACTAGTTTCGGAACCAGTTACCACCATGACCACTCAGGTTGAGGAAATCTCAAACGAATACCTCAATTAACAATTAAAGAAGTTTTGGGAGTTAAAAGAGCTCCCCCCATATCAATCACAACCCCTGAAGATCAGTATTGTGAAGATTTTTACAAAGCCACAACTACTAGATCAGATAATGGTCGTTATGTCCTACGACTGCCACTAAAACAACAATTTCCCAACACAATCGCCTTAGGTCACTCTCGCACCTCTGCTATACAGCAGTTTGTAAGTATGGAAAAAAACTTACTTAAAAAAGGTGAGCTTAAACCAGAATACGATGGCGTGTTAGAAGAATACCTACATTTAGACCACATGGAGGAAGTAAGCCCATGCGAAAAAATCATAAATGGCAAATATTACTCATTTTACTTGCCTCATCACGCAGTAGTAAAGCCAGACAAAAAAACAACTAAAGTACGAGTTGTCTTTAATGCATCACGATCCACCAGCTCGCGGAATTTCCTAAATGTTAATCATTTACGGGACCCACACTCCAACCAGACTTAATGCTCCTCATATTGAATTGGCGTATATGCAAATACGTATTTAACGGAGACGTCGAAAAAATGTATAGACAAATAGTCGTACATAAAGACGATCAAGATTTTCAGCGAATTATTTTCCGAAAATCTCCCAATAGTCCACTCCGCGACTATAAATTAAAAACAGTTACCTTTGGCGTCAACTGTGCTCCATATCTAGCCATTCGAACACTGCACGAATTGGCAGAAAACACCAAGTCAGAATTTCCTCTGGCAACTCAGG